GGGGCTCTGCCACAAAAGCTGCTGAGACCCTAGCCACACCAAGTTGGGTGCCAGCCATATCCCAAGAGCAGCTCCCAGTGGTGGGCACATCCCATCCCTACCCTCTATGCTGGCAGCAAGTTCCTGCCTGCTCACTTCACAATGGAGGAAACAGGCTCCGAGGTCTGGGGCCGGCTGCCAGTGCCCAGTGGCTTGCTGACCAGTGGGTTCCCTCCCCCATCCAAGCCAGCTCTCCACCCAGGCCACACCATGCCCGTCCCGTCCCTTTCTGGGACTCTGCTGCCAGGGTCTCGGCCCCCAGTGCCCATGTAGGGAAGACAGGCACTCTGTGTCCAAGCCCCGGGCCACTCACAGGGGTGGGGGAGCGTCGGTTGCTCTCCTCCAGAAACTCCTCCAGGGTGACCATCTCACTGCTCGGCGAGGCAGAGCTGGGTCGTCCCCCAGCGTGAGGCTGGCCCGCACCCCTCTTCTGGATGCCCTCCTGGGGGAGAGGCCCGTTCCGGGGCAGGGGGCACTCATGGCGGCTGAGGGCGGCGCGTCCCGTGGTGCTGGCATCCCGTGGCAGAGTGGCCGTGTCCCGGCTGGGGATCAGGTCTTCACTGCTGAAGCTCTCGGACCTTCTGTGGAGCTGGTCAGAGGAACCTGGGAGTGGGGGCAGGGCGGTACAGAGGGACACGCATGAGTCTCCCTCGCCATCTCCTCTGCCTCCGGCGGGCTCTGTGCTGCCTCGCAGTCACTGAAAACAGAGAGAGCCCTGCCAGGGCACCCAGGCCACACTTCTCCCAGCTGCAATTTGGATGTTAAGGACGTTTTGGAGAGCTTCAGAATTTCACTCTGACATTTAAAAACGAAACTCCTTGAGATAAAAGCGGAAAGCTTCTGGTAACGTTTAAGCTATTATTTAATATTAGTAGCCTGAAGGCACCACACTCAGTAGGTCTCATCCATCCATGTATTAAAGGATTAATCAGCACCTGTTCCACGCTAGGGGTCTTCCAGGGGCTGGTCACGTGCATGCGAAGGGAAAAAAGTTATCTGTGCAAAGTTTCCAGGCTTGGGACAAGACACATATTCTTTCCAAATGCTCAGAAATGTTAAGACAGACGATACTGTGCACTATAAAACGAAGTTAAAAAAGTACAGAAGAATCAAAGTCATCCCACTATGCTCTCTGGCCACCAGACAGAACTATGGTCAGTACCCCCACGCTACAGATGAAGTAGCTCAGATTCAGAGAACGGAGGGCAGGGGGGCGGGCACCCAGGGCTGGTCTATGGGGATGAAGGGATTCAAACTCAAATCCGCTCAAACGCCCAGGTGTGTGCCTCAAACAGCACGATGTGGACTCCACTGGAAAATGTCCGATGAGGCAGACAACCTTGTGAAGATGACCACTTTGTTGTAAAAAAAAAAAAAAAACAAAAAAAACAAAACAAACAAACAAACAAAAAAAAAAACACGAGCCCAGAACCAAAGCCCCCAATATAACAAAAAGCGTGCGCAAGCCAAGGCTGACTGACCTTTCAGATTAAGGGGCGAGCTGTCGCTGGATGCATTTAAAACTATCTCAAGCTGCCTAAGGCCGGGACTGAAAGGAAAGGACACTCCGTGTCAAGGGCCAACGAGCAGGTAAACCCCAGACTGAACCACCTGACCCGAAAAAGGCCGCAGAACAAAGCACGCCCACGCCAAAGTCCAGGCAGAGGCCCTGAGGATGGATGGGTGCCGGGGTTCTCTATGTTCCCCCGGGAGCGCCAGCAACTTGCGTGTGAGGCATGGCATCCAGCAAGTGACCCAGAAACGACAGGTAGTGTTGTTTTTATTAGGTCTAGGGCTAGGACTTGAGACAATTTTGTTAGCTTGACCACAGATAAGCACCACCAGGCATGGTCAGAAACAGACCAAAAGAGAAGGGCTGCTCAGGGGAAGCTAACGAGAGGAGAGCGCCCACGGCTACTATTACATAGAGCTTTCTGGAACACATGTGAGACTTGGTGGGGGTAGAGCCAGGAGACGGCAGGGTGCACACACGTGTGGCCCAGTCAAAAGAGGGGGCTGCGTGCCTGCGCCCAGGGAACTCCTTTGCTGATCCTGCGGGGTGAGTCACGGGGACCCTGAGGAGGGGAGGGAGAGTGTGCTTTTGCTTTTCTTGGCTGTTTGTGGCCCTTCAGCTCCTTGCTTCCTCTGCCTCGAATTTCCATCTACCCCCAAGGGAAAAATCAGCCCTTCCGGTGACAAGGAACTTGGAGACAGCAGCTCTCCTGGCTGCATGGGCCTGCCTGAGTGTGTGCACAAGGGAGCTCAGGGCAGGGGGAGCGGGGGGGGGGCAGGCGGGGGGCGAGCCCGGCTGCAGGTGGGGGTGGCTTCACCGCTGCAAAGGGCAGGCTGGCCCTCCAAGGCCGGCAGACCCCCGCTCTCCTGGTCCACTCTTCCAGGAGCCCTGCCGGCCTGCCCCACACCACTTTGTTTGTCCTGCCGGACCACGAACCCCTGGGGGACAAGAACTGCCCTTCTGTCATCCCTGCATCCACCTCAGCACGCAGCTGGTGTCGAGCCGAAGGGCACGGAGAACCGAAGACGCGCGGAGGTACTCTGTTCGCTGCGCCCCTGGGGAGAGTTTGCTCTTGCTTTACTGGGTCTATAGGGCGTCCAGTTCCCAAGTGCTGGTGCGCTCTGCAAATAGCAGGCATCTGGAAAACTCTTACTAGCAAACAGGGTTTGGGGAGGAGCCAAAAAATCCGCAGTTTTCACGAACAGTGTAAAAGCAGAGTCCCCTCTTTCAGAAGGAAAAATTAAAGAAAACGCACGTCTTTAAAAAGGAATTAAGTTTTGGGGCACCTGGGTGCCCAGTCAGTTGAGCAGCCGACTTCAGCTCAGGTCATAATCTCACAGTTTGTGAGTTCGAATCCCAGGTCGGGCTCTGTGCTGACAACTGTGAGCTTGGAGCGTGCTTCGGATTCTGTGTCCCCACCGCTCCCCCCCCCCCGCCCCTTCCCACTCATACTTTGCCTCTCTCAAAAAAAAAAAAAATAAACATTAAAAAAAATTATAAAGGAATTAAGTTTCATTCAAAGAAAACCGTGACACAAATCAACAGGACCCCAAAGCACTTTTGTTTATTCAACCACAGCATTGAAAACTGCTTTTCCTTCCTTCTACCCTGGTAAGAAAAGCTCAAGGAATCAGAGTGCTTAGGAAGAAAACCCCTCGGTTGGTCAGCCACTGGAGCACCAATCTGGCTCCTCAGTGCCCCTAACAAAGCACCGCGGCCAGTATGTCCAGGTGTGGCACCCCCCTGGTGCAAAGACACAAGGGGCCCTTGTGTCAGACTGTTGTGCCACAGAGCATGTCCTTCCACTCGTACAGAGCGCCAGCGTCTGTATCTGTATGAACGTCTGCATCATAAGACACTGAAGACAATGACGGACGGGAGACAACGCTATAGCCCCTACACTTACTGTTGATCACTTCCCAAGTAGCAGAGTTCACAGTGAGCTTTCTGATTTTAAGAATCATTTCCTCACCCTTACAGGATTTTTGTTTTTCAAAACTCACCAAAACCCAAAGCAGCTTTTAAGTTTTGAGAAAGCTGGTATGATTCACTGTTTCCCTTCTGCAGAAACTTACAATGTCTCTAAATCAAATGGCTAAGGGCTTCATCAATTCCTAAGACTAGTACATCTTGGAGCTACTGTGGACAACTGAACTCCAAGTGAGGACAGTGAGGGACCTCCTGGCACTCAGTGCTCCCCATGTGGGTCACCATAATGCCCTGGCAAACCTGAGGGGCACCCCAAAGCAAGGGCAGTTGGAGCCTGTAGACGCAGGATACTTTAGAAATGGTGACTTCCGGGGCGCCTGGGTGGCTCAGTCAGTTAAGCCTCCAACTTCAGCTCAGGTCATGATCTCGCGGCTCATGAGTTTGAGCCCCATGTCAGGCTCTGTGCTGATAGCTCAGAGCCTGGAGCCTGCTTCGGGTTCTTTGTCTCCCTCTCTCTCTGCCCCTCCCCCACTTGTGCAGTCTCAAAAACAAACATTAAAAAAAAAAAAAGAAGTGGTGACTTCCCTGTCCCTGGAGGTATGTAAGCAGAAGCCACATGCTCAGGACCCTGGGGAGGGCAGGAAGGAGCCTGGAGGAACTGCGGCCCCTCTCCATCCTCACGTCTACCCATTTTGTATGTCGGACGTCCACACAGGACTGAGGTTGAAGGAAAGTACTGCAGATGAAAATGAGTCTGAGACCCCAGGCACAAGGACATGACGCTGAGCACTCACCGTACTGCCTGTGGTTGAACTCCAGCTCCAGGGATGGGTCACAGAGGCTGTCATCTGAATTATAGCCTATGGTGACAGTAAGGTCATCGGTTATTAACGCAGGAGTTTCTGGAACACTTTGAAAAACTACAGACTCTTATTTAGGAAAAAGTATACTTTTATTTGCCCTTTGACCCAGCAATCCCACTTCAAGGAATCAGCTCTGGAGAAGGGTTGGCTGAAAAGACTGTGTGATATGTGGCCATTTAATACCAATTAAAGTAAGAAAGATCTCCATGATGTATGCCTAGGTGGGAAAAAAAAAATCAAGGTGCCATTTATTTTTGCAGAAAGAAGCACCAGGAATTTCAACCAGTACCGAAGGAAAAAGGGTATCCAGAGAGTGGTTTTGGAATAGAGTTCAGGGGACGGGGGCAGGGAGGGGACCTCGAACACTGAGAATACCTCCTCATATTATTCAGGTTTTTGAATCTATATTATGTATTTTTTTTTAATTTTTTTTTAATGTTTATTTATTTTTGAGACAGAGACAGAGCATGAGCAGGAAAGGGGCAAAGAGAGAGGGAGACACAGAATCGGAAGCAGGCTCCAGGCTCTGAGCCATCAGCACAGAGCCCGATGCGGGGCTTGAACTCACAGACTGTGAGATCATGACCTGAGCCGAAGTCGGACGCTTAACCGACTGAGCCACCCAGGCACCCCTATATTATGTATTTTAAAAACAGGGTTAATTTATGAAGAAGTCTAAAATTGAAAACAGAACAAACCTCACTGCATTGCAATTGTTAACAATCACACAGAGAGAAACATTGATCTGTTTACATTTTGAATGTAAAACTCTATGTGTGCATCCTTAGTGAGATGGAACTTAAAGAGTAAAAAAACTATAAAGAAAATACTGCTTAGTGGATTTACTTTAATAACACTGGCATAACTTTTTAAACCATTTACCACATATTTGGGGGGAAAAAGATAAGTCAATGTTTCAGGAGACCAGATATCCATGTAAGAAAAGGACACACAGATATGAAATCAAAGAAGGAAAAATCCCTGTAATGTTACATTTGAATCGGAAGTATTGACACAAACTTATAACGTGTCCCATCTTTCTCTACTGAAAGGGCCAGAAGCAATGGCAACTCTCTAGCGGCCAGAACTTGATTATTAAGTTCTGCTCTAGGGGCATCTGAGTACATCGGTCGGTTGTCCAATTCTTGATTTTAGCTCAGGTCATGGTCTCACAGTCTTGAGACTGAGCCACGCTCAGTGTGGAGCCTGCTTGGGATTCCTTCTCTCCCCCCCTCTGCCCTTCTCCCTTGGTTACATATACACGCACTCTCCCCCCAGAAATAACAAAACAAACCGATAAATTCTGTTCTAAAAGGAATCAGATTTACTTAGAGAAATGGCTGACTCTAAGGGGGGGGTTTCCATTTGAAGCTGGCTATTTGCCCAATGGCAGTCGATACTGAGGAGTGTGAGTACACGTTGGCGAGGAAGTGCGTGGCCAGGACTGGGTCTGCAGAGGTGACCCACCTTCCTGCAGGCTCCACAGGTGTAGGAATGGCCAGAGAGGTTTCTAGGCTCAGGCTCTGGTTTAGGACGGGGATCCAGACAGGGCCCGCGAATTAGTCTGAAGGGATGGACCTTGAACCGCACAGGTCGCTGGAAATCCGAGGGGAGATGGGAGTCCCGGCTCCTCCCTGAGACCAGGCAGGGCTTCTGTACCCCAGGCCCCGGGAGAACGGGGGGAGACTGCTGACAAGGAGCCTGTCCAGGCTGTCCACCTAGCATGTGACACCATCCCCTTGACCTCCACCAGCATGAGACTACCACTTCCAGTGTCTGGCAAGGAGTAGAGAAGGACCACCTGCTCGCCCTGTGCCCACTCATCTCCCCAGAGGTGTTCATGAGCTGTGAACAAGGTCGTGAAGCTAACCCAGACGCGCCTTAAGGGTGGGGACCCTGTGTGCTTTGCCTGTCAAACCAAGGTTCTGCACAGCCAGGTGGTATGGTGGGGTGGGGTGGTGGTATAACAGTAATCCTTCCCAGTTTTCTCCAATTTCCAACACCCCACAGGCACCTCTTCCAGCTGTTGCTTCAGATATTTTCATATCTCTAAACTACAAGCAGGATGTCTTTTTCAGTCTTAAGCTTTATCTTCCTGTTTGTAGATTTTAGATTTCCAAGTGCTTTTCCCCCCAACTGCTCTCTTTTACAGCATCCTGTTCTTGTTTCATGGGTAAAACCACCTCACTTATCTCGGACTCTATTAATGACAGGAATTTCAAAGCTGTCACCTCTGTGCTGTTTACTCTGTGGCCTCGTATTGGTTTTGGTCGCCCTGGCCAGAGGCTCTCTTCAGGTGTCCAGGGATCCCTGAACTTCCCTAGGCCTCACTTGGCAAGATATGACTGAGCTGTTCTGGTGGGAATTTCTCAAGCTTATCAGATGGCTCGAAGAACATTTTAATCTCACGTCCAGAGGTGTGGACACGTATGGCTCCTGGCACCCAGGGAGAAGTTCAGTTTGTAAGCCCCTCCCCAAATCCCCTTGTCCTCAGTTTAGGAGACCCACTCTCTAATCTACTGAGTGGACCTCCAGTTCAGAGACACGCTCGTGTTTCCTCCATAGAGAATAAACCTCCAAACTCCCACCACGGTGGAGTGAGGGCATTGCCTGCATTTAGCCCAAAATCCAGTTCACCTCCCTTCTGGAGCTACTGGGTGCCACCACTTCCTGAAAAGTGCTGGTGAGAGCGGCTTAGGATTGGGCCTCTGGATGGTGAAGTTGTCTGCCCTGAGTCACACGGCTGGTAGGCAGAATCCATGCCTTTGTGATTTCAAAGCTTGTCTACAGCTTACCTGCTCTGCTTACCACCTCATAGCCTGGGGTCTTTCGGAAGGCCCCTGGGCGCTTATCCCTCTTATTCTGGAGGGGCCCACAACTCACCTTTGGTGCGGCCTGGGTGCCGGGAGATGGGGGTGGAGCTGGAAGGGGTTGTAGTGATGGCTGAGGTTGAACAGGTCCGGGAGCTCAGCTCCGAGGGCCAGGGTTTCATGGCCGGGTCGGCGGAGGCATCTGTGCGGTCAAGGCTGCCTCTGTGCGGGGACCCTTGCTTTGGTTTTAGGTCCCCAGGGCCTGGGGCAGAGAAGGACATTGAGAAATGGGGCTGCAAAAGCCCATGCGAAGTCTGGGCTGCCGCACTGAGGTCTAGAAGCAGGGACACCAGGGCACACGGACCACAACAAGACAGAAGCTGGGCTGCGGTTTCAACAAGAGGGCGCAGGCTGCAGGTCTATGTCGGGAGGCCCAGAGAGGCCGGCCCTGGCTCTACAGATGGGTCCTACTGCAAGCCCTGAAAAGCTGGGAGAAGACAAAGAACTCAAGACGATCGACACACTGTTGCTACAGGTCCCACATACAAACTACGGGGTACACCTGCTGTATTAACTCCAATGACTGATCTAAAACGATCCTCGTAACTTCCGCTCAAGATCAGTCAAGGCCTGCAGCCAAGGTTCCAAAGGCCCAGGATGTGCATCCTGTCAACTGGCTTCACTGAGGATTTGAAGATGTTCACTGCCACGCTGACAATGTAAGAATTCTTAATTTCTGTTAAGAGTCACTTTTACCTTGCATCTTGTGCTTTTCTGCAATCGCTGAATTTTCTACCATGAACACATACTCTTATTATAAAACAAAATCTATGTAAAAATATTAAAAAAGAAAAAAAAAACCTAACTCATTCCAACTACCTAACAGTAGGAAAGGAGATGGGCTCTCTAAATGGAAGGTAACACGAGTGCCGCTGGAACTACTAGGAGCAGGAGGACGTCACCATGTCCCAACCCAGGAACCCCGTGGCTGGGGACCCAGAGCCAGGGCCCTTCCGTGGACCTGACCCCACCGGCCCCTCAGCCACTCGAAGTCTGGGTTCGCTGGGAAGTTTTCAGTGCCCAAATCTTACAACTTGAAACCAAGGCAAAATTTGGATTCTGAAAGATGCCCTTGATGAGAAGCAAGATTCAAGTCTGGTGGAATGAGTCGGGACAGGCATCCAACAGGTGCGGTTAAAATGAGCGGAGGGGAGGTGGAGATGAGCAGACAGCACGAACGGCAGAGAGACAGGGCGATTCCAATGGCATGCTGGCGAGACAGAGTCCTGGGGGACCAGGAGCACGGTGGCCCGGGGTCCCCAAGGCGGAGCGTGCGAGATGAAGTCAGTGCCACTTTGACCGACTTCAACAGCTTAGTAGGTATGTATGTACTTTTATGGTTCCCTTGTTTTTATGCTGATATTGGTTTTCCACAGACAGTACTGATAATAATCTTTCCTTTTAAAAATAAATTTAAGTAGCAACGCTGAGTCAGTTCAAGGGAAAACACGGAAGTAATCATACACGTGATAAAAAAAAAAAAAATGTGGCAGAACTCAAGAAGACCACACAGGAATGACGGAAGACAGCAAACAGTGCAGTAGCTAAAGGCCTCTATCGACCAGCATCCCCCCGCTCTGGGCGTGACCAGCATCCCCCCGCTCTGGGCGTGACTGGTGTGCTGATGGCCTTTCTGTCCGCTACCATTTTGGCTTCCACGTCCAAGAGGTCAGAGAGCTACCACACAGTCATAAAACTTCATTCTGGGCTGCCCTCTGGCTTGGCAACATCGATCCAATTATACAAAATGCTTGAATGGAGCAGTAAATCCTTCAAAACATAGAGTACATCTAAAAAGGGCCTTGTCAGCAAAAGCCAACAATTCGGTGCTCTGACAAAGGAAAGGGCAGCGGTTTTAAATTTAGCTGCTTAAAAATAAGTCTTAAAAAAAAAATCTCACTTGACAGAGGCCGTATATTTTAGGAAGCAAAGCGACAACCGACCAGTCCTGCTTTACACACGGGCATGACATAAGCCTGCAGGTGCGAGAGAGGGGAAGGCAGCCCACGGCCACCAGACTTACTTATTAGCACGGACATCCTGGCCCAAGGACCTGTGCACGGATGTCCCGAGGCTCCCCTAAAACTGTGCTGCGCTGGAGAAATGGTCCAGAGGGTGTGACAACTCATCTTCTCTTTTGAAATCAGAATCCACGCTGGCTACTTTAAGTTTGGCTTGAACTGGGGTTGGGAAGGAGGGGTCCACTATGGGTCATCTGGCCTTTAGGTACTTTTTGTTTGTTTGTTTCTTTTTTGGTTTTGTTTGAATTTCAGAAATGAAGGAGGATTACGTGATGAAGACACATGATACAGGAAAAGGATTAGAAATCTCCAATTTCTGAAAAAGGGACAGGCTCATTAGGAGAGGATGGGATGTCAGAGGAAGACCAGAACCGCAGGCGTTTAGACAGAGTTGGGTGGGCCGTTGGAGACTTGTCTTTGTCCTTGCTTTTGCTTCTCAAAAAGGGACTCTTTTTGCGCTGAGTTGCTAAATTGTTATTCCCCGGATTACCCAAGAGAGGAAGAAAAGAAAAAAAAAATAAAATAAATCAAATGAGTAACAACAAATGACTCTAAATAAGCTAAATGTAGTCAGGAAATCAGAATCCTGTCCAACCCAGGAAAGACAGAAACAATACCCATGACAAGCCCAGAACCAGGACTCTGTGAATCATTTATGCTCTGAGTCAATTTAATTTCACCGGCATCTTTGTGCCAACGCTTCACTCTGCACGTGAGGAGAACTATATACTGCTCAAGGAGCCAATGGCTGAGACATATTTCAATTTCAAAGTGTTAAATTATTAAATAAGGATGTTTGTTAATTTAGGACCCGGCTTCCCTTACTCGTCCATTTTAATGACAGGCCCCCTGATGATGTGGCGCTTACTCTACTCCTGTTCCTGTTCAAAGGCCTTAGAAACCCCTAATGGTCTGTTTCTGGCCTGGTGTCATGAACAGTCTACCCTCAAGTATTCACCAGTAACTCTGTATATCTACAATGACCTCTTTTGGCAGTATATGTTTAAAAACAATGAAAACATCACTTTTTGTACCAAACCCCGTCGAGAATTATTTCCCTTTCGATCTCCCGCACAACCTCTACCCCAATCCCACACTTCTTGGCCTTTAGAGTCTTGTCAGAGCAGACACTCAAGTCTTACTTTCTGAATACGTCCTATATTGACACAGCTGATTTTACCAATTTCTCATTTAGGATTAAAGCAATATGGGATCCTCGGTTATTTCTTCCTCCACAGCGCCACCTGGTGGCCAGAATAAGGGACCTCAGGTTCTGCCACACGTTAGTTCAGCATCTTCGGGGACCCAAAGGGCTTTAACTGCACACAGTGGTCAAGAACTCCAGCTCGCACCCCGACAGACGTGGATCCCAGTTCCACCACTGGTTACACTGGCAAGGATTTAATTTCACCAAGCCTCACTTTCTCAGCTCTGAGGAGGGATAATTAATCGTGCCTGCCGGACGTGGTAGTTAGGACTCAAGGAGACAGGTAAAGCATGTAAATTAGCTACAGGGATGCCGAGCCCAGAGGAAGCACCCCACACATGGCTGCCACTATGAATAATTTTCCCTGACCTGCTCATTCATGGATCAGCTCAACGGTCTGGACCAGCCAAGCACTTTTTTTCCTCTCAAAGTTTTCCTAGCTCATTAGACGGATGGTAGTTCACTAAGTCAATTACAGAATAATACAAGTGGAGGGGATAAAGGTCAACGGCTTTAAATGGCCAACATGAAAACGGGAGGCAACAGGGCTCCTCTAGAAACCAAGGTTAGGCTTCCTTATCTCTTAGCTACACGTGAGCCTTTCACCTAACCTGATCTGTAAAGAAGGGGAGGGAGGCAAGCATTTGTCGCCAATGTGTGCGCGTGTGCACGTTTTTTCTGCATTCAAAAGTGACACAACAGGACCTCGCATGGTGAATGTCCCCCCCCCTCCCCAAAAGGCTTGTGCACGTGCCACACTCAAGAGGCAGCTTGTCTCCACCAGCCGTCAGCAGCCAGGGCACAAAGGTCTCAGGCCTGGTCTTCAGACAGTCCTGGGGTCCTGCATAAACACTTACATTACTAGCAAGGTTTATGGGTAAGTAATCTTTAATCACCACTTAAAAGTAAATTTGAAAATATAACAACGTTTCATGGCCACTGCCGTGTTTGGTTGATTCTAAGACACGCATTTCTCCCCATTCCTTCCCATCTCTGAAATCAGGACACAGCTCCGATGGTGTCTGAAAGTCACCACTGGCCAGGGGGTACCACCTCTGATAAAACGGTCACTGCCACTACCAATTTATTTTGCTCCTGTTTTCCGTTTACGTCTGGGCACAGCAACCTAAGTCTTTGGAAGAGCTCTCCAACAAGAGTATAACAAAGTTTCTGAGTGGTAAGGCACTGCCTCTTCTGATTGCCAGTCTTTTCCTTCCCAGGTGGCATATTAAGTAATTATGCAGTATAGAGCTGACAGAGTCTTAGATGTGATGAAACATAGCATATACAACTAGAACTCCATTTCAGAACCTCTGGCAAACTCCAAATGACAGGCCTAAGTACAAGGGTAAGCTGTGCCCCATGGCTGGTAGGACTCAGGGACTTTACTGAAGATCTAATGTGCACACAGAACACGTTAAACGCACTTGGGATTTCCCTACAGGAACAGCTCACACTAAATCTTTGACATGTACAACCCCAAAACATATACTACCGAGCCTGTCTCTACAGCGCCTGCATAAGTATCTCTGTGGGTGTCAGACCCCCGACCCCAGCGTACCTGCTGGGCGATGGTTCTCATTCTAAAATAACAAAACTGTCATGGGACGAAGCTGCTGACGTGGATGTATATTTTCTACCTGGTTGCTAACATACGCGAAGAGGCAGATGTGTGCGTATGAGGCACACCCTCTCCATGCCCCTCTGCACATGCGTGCACATCCATGCACCGTCTCTCATTCCACCCTCGAAGCACGGCCCTTCGGAGCATCCCCTCCAGAGCCTGGCTGCAGCCTGGTCGGCCACTCGTACCTTTCCCCACAGGCCCGTTGAGGGGGTCCTGCTCTTCCGCACAGTTGGAGCCAGACGGGGCCGTCTCGGGGTTGTCTGGCTGCAACCGGAGGGGCTGAGAGGCAGATGGCGTCGTCGGGTCTGGGGACTCCAGCTGCCAGGGAGGGCTGTCTGCGGTTGACTTGAGTCGTTCTCTGGAACCCTCTTTCTTTGGTTTGATGAGTTTGACTAAGGCTTTGGCTCCAATCCAGTGGTTTTTCCTAGTTACGAGCAGATTGTTAGAAGGACAAGGCCAACCCGCACTGTCCCTCCAGCAGGTCACAGGGTGGGGGGCCCTGATGGGAGCTGGACTTTCCATAAGCCTGGAAGCCATTGATTTGGGGTTCAGAATGGTGGTGCTCTTCATCACCATAATCATTGGATTTGGGGCCCAGGGATGGTAGAAATGTGTATTGTGCCAGAAATCCACACTAGCCTCTTGGGAAAACAGACTTCAAACACGGCCACTGACTCTTGGTTATCTGTGTGAAACCAAGTGGTGCTGTGCTAACCTCATCTGTGTTCACTGGCAATTTTTCTGTCAAAATGCCATTCTGGAACAGAGTCATGGACCTCTTCATTTTCTGTTAAAGTTAACAGTGAGTGAGGTGAGTGGACATTCTTCTCCCAGTCCCTGGCACACAGGAATATGGGAGAGCAGGAGGCAGGTAGAGAGAGTAGGCCGTTTAAATTAAAACCAGTGAATTTTAAGAGTAAACGACAGAGTAGCAGCTGAATGGAAATGGGGGCATCCTGATATAACAAAAAAACTGACTCTGAAACTAGATAGCACTGTGTCTACACAAACCACTCGGTCTCCTCATCTGGGCCTCCATTTCTCTGTCAGAGAGAAGGGTGAGAATGAGGTTCTGAAATTCTGTGGTTCACCAGAAGAGCCTTGAGGCTTCATGGTGATTCTGACTTTGAGGCTGGGCTGGGACAGGACACGGGAGGGCTGGCTCAGGGGTCAATCCTGATGGATGATGCCGGCCCTGCTGGGAGACTGAGCGGGCCCCACAGCCAGGGGGCTGCTGCTCCCTGGAGAAAGAAATATGTTTGTGAACCTGCCCTGGGGTTCAGGGAGCCCAGAAGAATTTGTGTGAGGCCCAGGGGTTCCCGTGTTCACCTGCAGGAGGTGCTATACCAGCTTCCTTCTCCAAAACAGGAACGTGATTTGCAATGTCCTGCGAAATCCTGAGACAGAACCTGACACAGCAGCCATTTGTCCCATTTTAATGGCTCCAAAACCACAGACTCTCTGCCCCCTTTAAAGGGCTGTGGCTAAATTAAGCCCACGTCTCATCACAGTCAGCTGGCATCCGCCGTCCCTCACAGGACAAGCCAGAGCACAGGGGGCGGGGCCGAACGTCTAATTCCCCTCTGTCACAGGAGCGGCCTGCACACGGGGCCTCCACAGAGCGGGAGGCATGGGCTCTACAAGCTGGGTGCTGCTCCAGATGGGAGCAGTTTCCACCCCACTCATGAACACGGACATTCTCTGCTCTAGGTCTAAGTCACAGACACCTCCATCAACTCACTTCTTGGGAGCAGGGTCATAGAACTTGTACTGATCCATGATTTTCTCCTCCAGTTTTTCCTTATGTCTCCGTAAGGCATTTAATTTGTCTCTGTGAAGAGAGAGGAAAGGGGGGCTATCAATCCAGTTTTAAATAAAACACGTGAATTTACTTCATCAGCCCAGCCTGGGACCTTTTCTGGGATTTGGACATCATAGTGTCATGACCCTCATGATCACAAAGCTGGGAATGTGCGAATGGAAATGTCTGGCATGAGTCCAGGGAGCCCTGCTACCTTAAGGAGCCATGATAAATCACCTAGGGTCTGGATGCAAGCCGACTCAAGGGAGCAGACTCCTAACCATCTGAAAACCTGCATGTTTCTAGAAGCTCTAAGGACTTGGTGGCCAGGTCTTTCAGGACACTGGGCATTCGGGGGTGGCCACAGCACTTGCACGTTAATAATACCTTTGGTGAAAGGGGAAAGGTGTGCCCTCAGCTAGTCAGTTCAGCAAAGTCAGACTTCTGACTTGGACCTATCCCGATGCCGGTTCCTGAGAACATTCCATGAGGGCATACTCAAAAGCTTCCAGGGCCAGAGAAGGAGCAAAGCAGGCCTAGAAAGAGCAGGGGGAGCGGTGGGCACGGTAGCCCAAACAGATGGCCACTAGGCAGGGATGCATGAGGCCTACAGGGCAGACCTGCCAATGTTTTCAGAGAAGCCAGAAGCTTAGGTCATGAAGCAACATGTCCTGATCTCTAACTATTGGAGATCAGTTCACATTTTCAAAAACACAAAAAGGATCAAGACCCCTCTGGACCCTGGGGCTGCCAGAGGGCAATACTGTGCCTTAGGCGAGTCTGGCCTTCCTGATATGAAGGGTGTGCTTCTGGTTTGCTTTATCTCAGGAGTCCCAGGGGCGGTGCCTTCTACACGCACTGCCCACAGGCTGCCACCTGGGTCTCAGCAGCCACGACAGCTCGGAACCCTGGTCTCCTTGTCAGAAAAGGAGGCCTCTGAACCAGAGACAGGTACACAGGCCTCTGTCGTGGAGCTGTAGGGGCTCCATCCGAACTGAGGGCTGAGACATCACTGCACAATGACATCCCAAGAGTGACAGCTTCGTGAACCTCTGGCGCCCACCAGGAAGCCCCTCTGCTCCCAGCCCCCTTGGCTTGATGTCTGTGTTACTCTTCTGTCCTCACTGCCATGCTGCTCAGCCTTCCTCTGTGAGCACTTCCGTGGCTGTCTGGCCCCACAGATGCACAGTAACTCCCTGCGAGCGGGCACTGCACCCCTCCTAGGGCCCAGAACGGTGCTCTCTGCTCAGCGCAGGCTCTGGGAAGCTTGCTATGCCCCCGGCATTCCGCACTCTCTAATGCAAAACCACCATCAAATCATCCCCCTTGGATACCAGGCTCTTACTCTTCTGGTTAGCACCTGCCCAACCCCCTGCTGGCATTTTTTATCAGCTGGGTTACAGACGGCCAACTTCTGTCAGTCCGATCTACCCTAAATTTACAGCGTGGTTTTCAATGTAAACCATCCTCCAGTAGGTGGCGAGCCACCTCTACAGGATCAAAGCCAGAAAAGTAACGAAGCAGCGTCGTTATGCTGGAGAGCGGGCCCAGTGCAGCGGCATTCACTGTGATCACATCCCTCTGCCAGCCAGCTTCCTCTTGCGTTCCCCACACTGGCCAGCCAGTCCCCCCTCAGGAGGAAGGAGAGCCCACCCACCACAGCACAGAGTGGTGAAAATCACCCCAGATCCATGAGATGGATCTTGGATTACTCAGCTTCTAAAGCATGAGGTTTCCAGGACCAGGGCTCCTCCTCCAGACCTCTGTTTCCTAGGCCCTGCTAGACCAGCATCCTTTCGGATGATGGCATCCTTCCTGGCAAATCCAAACTCACAAGCTGCACAGAGAAGCCTTCCACGGCTGAGTGTCCACCTCCTCGTCCAGGCTTCTTTCCGTGCACATTCCCTGCACCCAGAACACTGCTGGGCTCCACCTTCAGGCTCCCCACCTGCCCACCTTCCATGTCCACAAGAGAACCTCATCTCCCCACTACGTTGCCTTCCATGAAGCTCAGCAGGTGCCCAGCACGGAGGTGCTCCTCGCACAACCCCCAACTCCTACCAGTTCCTGGCCCCCAGGGAATGGATCTGTGCACCCCACGGGGCCCGTGCCAGAGCTGGCACTTCATTAACACCAGCTGAGGGAGGACAATCACAGAAGAACCTACTTTGCGACAATCCAGGGGAAAACAGACACAGGTGACAGAAAGACACCAGCTATGGCACCTGTGCTCAGGTTTCGACTTGGATTCTTCCCTGAGGTGTTTCTTACCAGCACTGTCATATTTTTAAAAGTGAGCTTAATTCCAAAAGCAGATTCCAAAGCTTCTGGTGGGGGTACTGCCTTTGAAACACAAACAAAAGCTAACCACCACCACTTACAGAAACCCAGAACCATTCCAGGGAAGCCAAGAGAAGGATGTGTTGGTAAGGTGGTCTGTCCCCTTGCCCTCAGGACACCAACAGGCTCGGGGCCATTGCTTGTCCACAGTGTCACAGGTCCTGGATGGGGCCCGGGAAGCTAGAACCTCCCCCCGCCCTTTGCCTACAGGCGTCAACCCCACACGTGCCCTTACATGTACTGCTTCTGCTCCTCATGGTACTGCTCCTTACTCTCCATGTTCTGCTCTAGAAGCATCTGGTTCTGCTGGCTCAGCAGCTGGATCTGGCTCAGGAGGTGATGATTTTCTTCCTCCAAGTTTCCCTTGAGACGGGAGAGCAGCTACAACACAGATCAACAGCGTTTCAGACACTACGCGATCCCGTGATTCCTCTGCTGGGAATGTGGGTTCCAGGGGAAGGGCCACGTGCACAGGGACGTGCACCCCTCCCTCTGCCAGCGAGAACCTGCCAGGACCAAAAGAGCCAACGGCATGGGAAGAGCTGAACTCCCTCTGCACCTGCCCTGCCCAATCTGGCAGTCACCAGCAACGTGTGGCCACTGAGCTTACAATGCAGCTAGTCTGAATGGAGGTGTGCCAAAGTACACAACAGATTGTGAAGACTTAATGATAGTAAAGAAAAGAACATAGAAGGTATTTTTTTGGATACACATCGAAATGATAATATTTTAGATATGTTAGCCAAACAAAATATACTATGACAATTAATCCCACCTGTTCTTACTTTTTTAACATGGCTACTAGAAAACGTTAACATGTGCACGTGGCCTGTGCTTTATTTCTGGTGGGCAGCTCTGCTCTTGAAGAGGGTCAGCACACCTTTTCTTCAAAGGACCTGACACTAAGTATTTCAGGCTTTCCAGACTGAAAGGGGGTCGCCTGTTGCAAAGCTTCGACTCAGTTGCTGCAGCAGGAAGTAGCCACAGACAAAATGTAAGCGCACCGGGTGTGGCCATGTTCCCATAAAACTGCCAACAGACATGGACATTTAAATTTCTGGGGGGCCTGGGTGGCTCATTCGGTTAAGTGTCCGACGTCAGCCCAGGTCATGATGATCTCACGGTTTGTGGGTTCGATCCCCGCCATCGGGCTCTGTGCTGACAGCTAGGAGCCTGGAGCCTGCTTCGGGTTCTGTGTCTCCCTCTCTCTCTGCCCTCCCGCCCTCCCTCCCTCCCTCTCTCTCAAAAATAAACATTAAAAAAATTATCCTTAAGTTTCTTATCATTTCCACTTGACACAAACTATTCTTTCGATTTCTCCCAACCACTACCACTGTCAAAGACATTCTTAGTTCATAGCCGAATGTATACAAACAGGCAGTGGGCTAGATCTGACTCATGGGCTGAGATCTGCCAACTCCTGCTTCAGAAGATCAGTACGGTTGATGTAGCAGGAAAATCACAGGCTTTGGCTTCAGACAGAGCTCCATTCCACTACCGTGGACCTCAGTCTGAGGTCTCCTCCGAAACCCTAAAGAACCTCCCTGTGACAACACAGCCTATGGTGGCTGAGGCTTCCTCTGGCTTAAAGTCTGGCCCCCATCTCCTCCACACGCCCCTTGCCCCAGCCCAGGGGGCCTTGAGGCACCTGGGCCTTGGTTTCCTCAACTGAGATGTCCCAAAGGGCCACCACGAGCTCGAAGGAAAAGGCCTCTGAGAGGATTTCTGGACAAACGAGAGGCAAGAGGAGCTGTGTCCTGGGGATGGTGCCATCCATGGGGAGGGACCCACGGATGAAGTTGGGGAGGGACCAAGTGCTCTCCCCTGCCCAACCCACTTTGGTCTTATCTGTCGCGGGGTCTGCTTACAATTTCATTTGAGATGGTTTTGCTGTCTAAGAAGACAATTTCCAACCTAGTGCACCAAAAGAGAGCTCTGCTCCTCTGGAAACCCGGAGCCAGAGTCAGCCATTCACGCCATTTCTCGGGAACAGCGTGGATACTGAATTGCAAAGATGAAAGTGTAGACACAGACAAGGGGATGGAAATAAGTCTGTGTTCTGCTGTCCCCACGCATGTCTCTGATGCTCGGGGAAGCACAGGGCAGATGGAAAGGGGTTTTCTAATACATCTCTGCCAATCATGGTGTCTGTCTCCCTTTTAAATGCCTCAGTACCCTCTCAGCCCCTGTACCGCCTTCCAGAGTCTTCGGATGCCGACGCCAGCGCAGACCCATCGCAACCCCACTGGGCCCAGGGCTGTCCACGTCCTGAGGCCTCACCTCGCAGCGGTTGTCCAGCTTGGTCAGCGAGATGTCCATGTTCTGGTGCTGCTCCTTCAGCTCGTCAAACCGTGCCTGCCAGCGGTTCAGCTCCAGCTGTGAGTTGTTCAGGGAGGTTTTCAGCTCCTTGGTGTGGGCGTGCAGCTCCTCATACTCCCCCTTCAGCTGGTGGTGCAGGAAATTGACCCTGGGGGTGGAGAGCCACAGGCCAAGAGCTGAAGAGCTGTCCCTGCTGTGCAGCCTTACATAAGATGATAGCCTCTCTGGGCCTCAGTTCTTTCACGTGTAAAAGGAGAGGCTTGAGCAAAATCAGCAGTTTTCAAACTGCGTCCCTTGGGGTTCTCTACAAGGGTCCCCCTGGTGTCTTCGCACTGGGCTGGGGGTACAGAGTGGGTAGGCTCAGATACCTGCTCCAACAGAGTATCACTGCTATCATGTCTTTTGCCTTTAAAGCCTTGGGATATCTGCATATGTACTTGGAAAAAAGGGTTCAGTAGTTAGCGTGTTTTGTTTTGTTTTCTGGAAACACAGAACCAGAACATTTTTGCGTCTGGCTCTTCTTCCCAATTTCAAGCTCCTTTCTAACTTCAACTCCTGGGGTAAATAAAATATGAGATGCCAGGGTTTTACAGAAACCCACTAAAATTATCATCATCATGATAACTATTATCTAACTGGGATTTCTTGGGGGAAGATTTGGATCAGAAAGTTCCAGCCACTGGAGGCTCACGGATTTCATTTGGACACAGCTGTGTCTTATTTGGCCCCGCACCCTTCTTTTAAATGGATCAGTGTGCCAACATTTAGAAACCTGAAAGTCTCACATCAATACTCCGATGTCCCGTTTCTCTTAAGAAAAAAGCATAAAACGGAAAGATGACCTGGTAGCAGTGAGCCTGCCTCGTGGCTGACAACCTTCAGCTGCTGTGTTCTTCCCCACGTCACTGTCAGGCCTATCGCCGACATTCCCTCACCCACGAGCCTGGTCTCCCAGGGCACAGGACACACCGCAGTATGTGGCCCCGGTGCACATTCATGCAAGGACATGGAGACGAAGCAGCTTTATACGGTCATTGTGGTAAGACTGGATTCAAATCCTGACTCTGCCATTAAGTGATTTTGAAAAAATTTGCTCATCTCTGAGCCTGTTTCTTATCTGTTAAAAAAGTGGGGTGGGGGGATAATAACAGTACAGCTGACTCTCGTTATCTGAGGTAGTGATGCTCTGTGAGGTCCACCAAGATCACTGAACTGGTGGATACTGAACCACTGCTCCTCGGGAAAATGCACAGTACAGGTTCCTGCTCTGCTTACAACATTTTAGTCGACCGATCAAGACATTCCTTATTTTACAGGGGTTTCTGTTTAAAGACACCTCCCGGCCACAGCACCGTAGCTCCTGCCCGAATGGAGCTTATCTAATGTGTACTTTCCCCGTAAGGCCATCACAGCCTTGCACTTAGGAAGACGAGACAGCACTTCAGTACTCCACTTGGTGGGTATTTTAAATAGTAAAACTGCCACGAAATAAGACAAAAATATGAAAATCCCACGGGTCACAAAAAGGATGCTTATTCACAGCATGAGAACTGACACAGGAAGGCAGAGCATCCTTGTATGTCCTCAGCTGGAAATGTGTGCATCAGGTGACTCAGGTACTGGGCCACCCCAGGCATGTGCATCAAAGCACCACGAGCATCAATTTGGGGGTGACGCATACATTTTAGGAAGGAGGTGAATTCACAACAGGAAACGTGTGAATACTAAGCATCAATGGTGTGTCCTTCATGAGATCGCCGTGTGGCCTACATCAGATGAGGGTCTGGGCCTGATGCAATGTGTTTCTCGAGTCCTTCCAACCCAGCAACAAAAGCTAGAGCCCCCTCTCAACTGTGCCACCCAGCTGTGAACAGGACAGGGTTTATAAAAATACAGGTCTGCGGGGCACCCAGGTGGTTCAGTGGATTGAGCATCTGACTTTGGCTCAGGTCATGATTTTGCGGTTCATGAGTTCGAGCCTACACGTCGGGCTCTGTGCTGACAGCTCAGAGCCTGGAGCCTGCTTTCGATTCTGGGTCTCCCCCTCTCTCTGCCCCTCCCCAACTCGTGCATACTCTTTCAAAAACTCAATAAAAAAATTTTTTTAAGTAAAAATATAAAAATACAGGACTGCCAGGGGACCCCCGCTGACCTCCTCTCGGCGGGGCTGAGTGCGTCTACGTGAAATCCCGGATGGCAGCCGCCCCACACGGAGCTCACCTGTCCAGCTCTCCCCGCAGCCGCTGGTTCTCACCCACGGCCATGGCGCCCGTCCTCTGCTCTTGCTGCAGTGCCTCCCTCTCGGTGTTCAGAACCTTCTCCCGCTCCTCCAGCTCCGCCTGACGCTTCAGCATGTCGTCGTGCCTGGCGGAGGGGAACACACCCGCTGGGAGCTGGGCTGGGGCCTCCTTTCCCTCCAGGTACCCAACTCCCCAGAGGACTGTGAAGCTGCCCACAGAAGGCAGGGCCCCTCTGGAGGCTTTCTCTGGCGTCTTTGAGGGGGATGGGGCAGGAACAGGCAGGGCGAGATGCAGGGCAGCAGAAAAACGGAGAACGGTGGCCAGGAGAGGCATCTGGGCCAGGGGTCTCCTCCAGCCCCACACGTGTCCACAGTCCCTCAGATTCCCCGTCAAACCAGCCATTCCTCCCCGGCCGCCTGGGCTATGTTTCCTGCACTCTGAGCCCTTCCCTTCAGGAGTCATGGCTACATTACTAGGTGGTTCACTAAGCACAAACACATCTACAAGAAACGACAAAATAAACAGCTGAATTCCACCACACTTAACTCTTAATCCCTCTTCACTGGGGCCTGGGTGAGCCCTCCGCCCTCCTCTCCTCCGGAATTGAGTCTCCTTGTTCTTTGCCTGGCCTTGCTGCTGGGACAGAGGCTTGCTTGGTGGGGACCTACTGGCTGCCAGTGGCCAATTCTTCATACACACACACACACACACACACACAGACACACACACACACGCATGCGCGCACGGCCTTTTCTCAGGATCCCCAACCACAGCCCTCCCCCTCCCCTTAGGCTTTTCTCTCCTTCTGCAGCCTCAGTCTCTGGGGGTTACTGTGTAGTTGTCTCTGGAAACCAGCAGAGCACAGGAGGATGGACCCCTTGACAAGCCCAGGCTGTCTTTCCTACTTGCTGGAAACATCCGTGTTCAAAGACGACTCAGGATCTCCCCCAAATCCATGGCAACGACTAAGGCACCACCTTTCAATCGTCCCCATTCGGGCAAATCCCTCCTCTGCAGACCCCCTTCCTTGTCAGACAGTGTGACAGGGTGCCCAACCTGTCTTCACAGCTCCACGCCTGCGCCCACTTATACCACCTGACTAGAGCCAGGACTAGTCGGGGATCAAAGCCAGAAACCTGCTTAGGCAGCCGTTCAATGACACACTTTTGTGGGGCCTTCTGCCACACTGTGGGGAAGCATAAAGCTGGGAGTGGAAGCTCTGTCTAGCTTCTCAGGTGGTGACATTTCTCAACCAGGCTAACAATTCTGAAAAAAGCCATCCAGGTTTGCAAATTAGGGCCACAGGCAGATATCAGGGCTCCCCAAAACCTGTTTCCCTGTGGTCATGTCTTGGAAAAGCCCACGGGGTATCTGTAACCACTAGTAACCACCTAACTGCAGGACTGATGCCATGTGTCCTGCTCACCAGTGAATCCTGGGTACGAGGCATGGCACTTGGTAAGTATCTATTAAGGGAACGAAGACATGAGCATCCAATTTAAAAAGTGCCATCATCCCTGTGTCCCAAGTACCTACACTCCCAAAGCCATAGCCCCACTGCAGACAGACCAAGGGGGCCTCCAGCCATCTGTCCAGCCAGTGAAAATTCAAGCGGCACAGTAGTTCTGCCTGCTGTATTGACAAGGAGCCAGAGGGAAAACAACAGTGAACCCCCTCAAGGCCAGTCCAAACTCCACCTGCAAAAACCTTCACCCTCTAAACAGACACTAAGAATATCATGAGACACGATTAGAACATAGAACAAGATGTTAATGACAAGACGCATAAGTGCCTGGTGAGCAGTGGGCAAGGTTCAGAGCTCTGTGAACACCTTTTGCTCCATTTCATTAGCCAACCGGGAGCATCCCTGGCAAGTCTAGACACAGCACCATGCACATAGTACACGCTCACCAAGTGCCACACGAACCTAGGAGAGGCTCAGGAGGAGAGGGGAGATGGAAATGCCCAGAGGCACAAGACGCTAATTTGGGCTGGAAGGCATAGTGTCTTACTAGGAGCAGATGCTTCGACAGCTCCTGAAGAAAGGAGATGTGGGTGGAGAGAGCAGGTAGAGGACCCCAGAGAGAGGCAAAACAGAAGCAACGGGTGAGTGGATAAATGAATGTCATCACCTCTGTGCCCTCAGCGTCATCAGATGCCCTTACCACTTTGCAGCTCAATGACTAAGACCAGTCAAAGGAGATGCTGTCAGCAAGGACACCTGACAAGCACAGGAAGTGGGTAATCAACTGCTCCCTCCTACACAGCTCCGTGGGCTCGAGTGCCCACCTCTCTGTAGAGACACAGCTCTCTCCTGGGTCAGAGTCAGGTGCACAGCACCCCTCCCACCAGACTCCGGGTCCTGCCCGGAAACACTCAGGGATCTGCCGGGGGACAGGAGCTCGGGCAACGCTAGCTGAATGTACATGAAACCCAGAACCCTGCTTTGTGAAGAGTGCCAAGACCTGTAGGTTTCAGTGCATGTAAATTTTAGATTAAAAAAGGAAAGGAGGGTAGGCAGGGGGAGAGAGAGGTATGGCTGAGAGGTACACGGCGGTCCATTATACTGTTCTATTTGCTTTCTATATATTCATAAGCTGCCAAAATCGAAGGCTGGAAAGAAAGCGTCCCAGACCTTGACAGGGAAAACGAGGCTGGGGAAGTCCATGGGAGCGGGTCAGTGTAAAAAACTGCGGGGCAGTTGTGGTGAATGGCTTCCTTCTTCCTGGTTTGGAGAGGAAGGGGGAGGTGGGGGAATCCTTAGGGAAGCAGGAACCCCAAGGCTGGGGATTCCCTGAGCTGGGAGTGGGCACGGCACCCACTTCTCTACTCGGGGACCCTCCTGTCACTCGGCCTCCAGCTGCACAAACTCATCCAACCGCTGGGTGGGACTTTCGATGGACTTCCCTCCGGGAAAGTCTGGGTGTCCCAGACAACGTGAAGCAACGGCCCGAGAGGAAACGCGGGGAAGGCTTGTGGGCAAGGACATGAGCCCGGAGGGGCAGGGGCGCCGCCAGAGGCCCGCACACACCTGTCCCGGAGCTCCTTGTGCTCCAGCTCCAGGTTCCGATGCAGCGTCTTCAGGCAGCTGTGCTGGCGGATGAGGGCCTCGTACTCCGTGGACTGCCGCTCGTGGAGCGCGGCCAGGTGCTCGTGGTCCTGCAGCAGCGCCTCGTAGGCCGCCGTCAGCTGCTCCTGCTGCTTCTGCAGGTTCTCATTCTCGCTCTCCTTGGCCGTCTGCTGGTTCTGGAGCAGCGTGTACTGCGCGGTGAGCGCGGCACTCTGGGAGCTCAGAGTGGAATTCTCCACCTGCCGGGAGGGAGAAGGCTCCGCCTGACCGCGGGCAGGCCCCAGGGAGCCACACGCTCCGTGTCCCCGCTCGCGGTGACCATGCCGTGAGGAGCCGGAGGCAGACACCCGGACAACAGGGACCCTCGGGGCAGCCAACACCCAGCCGCTGAGGACAGTTCCGTCTGAACTTGAGAAACCGCTCTGGAAAGAGGCAGCACTAGACTGTCAGACGGCTCTGGTCCTGCACCCTCCCTACATGGGACCTTTCGGGGCCAATTATGTCCTTTCTCTGGAGAAGCTCCCGGGAACCCTCTTTGGCTACTTTCACACACCTGTTTCCTAGAACAAGTAGAAAACCAGTGACGTTGTAGAATACCCGGTCACCGCCACCAGCCACCCTAACTGATGCTCACAGAACCACCACCCCACAACATCCCAAACTATCAGAAAACTGAAGGGGCAGCACTGCCTGACTCATTCTGGGGCCACTTTTACTGACGTGAAACCCAGACGAAGACCTGGCCACAACCACCACCACCAAAACCAACAACCAATATCCAATTCTGTTATTTTAATACAACAAATTCCAACATCTTTGCCTAATAGTTTCCCGTTTACTGTCCTGACCCATGTTTCAAACACTTTTCTCAGAAACTGCATTAATGAACGATTAATTCATTTCCTCGCAATGTATTAACCGTAAATAAAAACCAACGTCCTTGAGTATGCGGCATGGAATACCAATTTCACTAGAAGCTCTCAAAAGCCTGGCAGCTACTTGATGCCCTATAAGTCCCTCATGGAGATTAAAAATTCACACTAGCTTAACAGAGACTCTGCCAGGTTTTATAGTAAATAAAATCGACTTATTTGAGTCCAGAACCTCTTTTCCAACTCATTCCTGGTCAAAGCTTATGGAAGAGACTTTGAGAAACAGGCAAGTCCGGGCAGAGCACGTTTCCAGCCCTGCAGCCACGGGCTCAGTCAATGGAAACAAACCCGCACCACCTTCAAAGACCCCCAGGCCGGGCCCCGCTGCTTGCAATGAGCCAACGCAAAATAAATGTGCGGAGACTCTCCCGAGCTCAGAGGAGCCAGTGTGGCGGGCGGGTCTCTACGTGATGCCTGTGGCTGGGCCCTCACTCACCTGCAGCGTGGCCGTCTGGGTCTGCAGCGTGGTGTTGTGCTCCTGCAGGAAGGCGCTCTGTTTCTGCAGTGTCAGGATCTGACTGCTGAAGGCCACGTTCTGGGTCTCTAAGTGCTGCAGCTGTTCCTTGAGCAGCTGTTTCTCTGCCTGCAGAGCTGCGTTCTAGGGGATGAGGAAGCATGGGACCCGTCAGACACCAGCTCGGGAAATGTAACCGGCCACAGGCACTAGGGTGGGAAGCAACACTCGAGAGTTGATGCTATGGGGACTAAAGCCAGAATCCAACAGGTGAGACAAGTAACGTTTCCCTCTTGGAAAAGACAATCAACAGAAT